ATGCGAATAACAAAAACGTACTTGAAGTTACTTACCTTGTAGGAGTGGTAAAGTAGATCGAGGCATGACTCTGATTCTGTATCATTTGACAATCACTTGGGCTTTGTTCCAAAGATGTTGCTTGATGAACGCTAATGGACTTCGGTGACCTGCAATTCAATCAAGACACGAAGAAAGTTCGAGGCGCCTAGTTATCGTCTAGGGTGCTCGAGAGAAAGATTTAGCGAAATGGAGTTCATTTCGACTTTAATGAAATACTCAGTTATCGTCTGAGGTATTTGTTAAAGTTTAGCCGCCACACCTAGATATTGTCGTAGGTGTTTAACAGGGGAGTTTGTCCAATTCGTACAAATGTTTCGACCTTTGCAAAGTACCCATACCTCATCATAGGTACTCGTAAAGGTTTGGCCGCTGTACCTAATTATCGTCCTAGGTACTTAACGGGGAACGCTTGAAAGGTTGGGAGAATGTTCAACTTTTACAAGATACCCATACTTTCCTCATAGGTACTCGTAAAGATTTGGCCGCTGCACCTAGTTATCATCATAAGCGCGACACGGGGGAACCCTCGATAGGTTGGGAAAATGTTCCGACCTTTACGAGATATCTATACCTTCCTCATAGGTACTCGTAAAGATTTGGCCGCTGCACCTAGTTATCGTCATAGGTGCGACACAGGGAAACTTTCCAAGATTGAGAGAATATTCTGACCTTTACGAAATACATCTTTCCTCATAGGTACTCGTAAAGATTTAGTCGTTGCACCTAGTTATCGTCATAGGTGCTATGCGGGGGAACATATTCCGTGAGTGTGTGAAAAGTGTGCCTAACAATGTATCTAGTTATCATCTAGGATATTTGAAAAGACTTGATCGATAAATATCTGGATATCGTTGCGGGTACTTAACGATTGGGCGAACCAGCGGCTAGCTCAGATGTTCAGAGGTTCCTTGACAAAGCATCTGAATATCATTAGAAGTACCTGAAAAAGCTTGATCAATAGATGCCTGGATATCGTTAGAAACACCTAGAGATCGCAACAAAATGATCAAATATGGGGCCTGACGATTGCTCGAACATGTTAGGGATACCTGGATAGTCACAGGCATCCAAGGGATAGAGATATACTTACCTGGTGATATCTCTGACTCTTGAAGGTGTGTCTCCTGCTAAACACGGTTTTAGGCAACATGTAACATGCATTCATGGGCAATCAAGAACACACGTACTCATGCACTATAAATTCAACTGGTTTTCATGCATGACAATTTTGTCGAATCAGCATTACTAAATTTCACCGGAGAGAATCATGACAAGACAATTTGAACTCACAAGTGGGTGCCTTGAAAATGTCAAATGATGCACTTCTGGTCCGAAAGGCTTTCACTCACTCTCATTAAAAGAGGCTAATTTATGAGAATCACTCCATCTCACTTTCATCATATGGACAAGGGTCTGAGTATTCTCGCAAGCAGTATGACCTTACCAATCTGATAGGTCTTTGTCAAGACCGTAGTGTCAGTTTGGTCAATGGCTTAACAAAGGGGATTGTTCAAGTTGAGGCTATGAAAGAAAATACTCCGCGATTGTCTCCGGGTTTACAAGTCAAGAACCCTGCAAAATGAGATAGAAATGGACTTGCTCGCACTTCTTCGAGCTAAGCTTATAAGCATTTGAATCCTACGTTAATTCAAGTGCCATAATCTGAAGAGACTTTGTAAGGGACGTAACGTAGGCTAGCCTCATGGGTTGAAAAATGAATGAATCATTAGGCTCAAAATTTGTATAGTTGGGGTGAATAAGTTGGTGATCATCTCGGCATTGTCACCAATCTTCTTCTTCATCTTCGGGAACTGTCCTCTCAGTAAATGCTTCATTGGGCTTCAATTCACCACTTAACTTGTAGGATTGCGATTATACCACTGGGGACGATTCTGATACATCTATTTTTCTCAATTGGGCATCGGCTTTGCTTTTACCAGGTACACTGCTTTTTTTGCCCACCCTTTTTTTTTTTTGACTCACATCACTTGACATACACTGTTTATAATGCATATATTTGCCAACCATACTCTGACTGAATGACTCGCCATTTGGACTCTCAAGGATCTCTGTCTTCTATCGACGCTCCGGATATGCTGCTTAGACAGTGATGGCTCTTACCTTGCGCCAGTATAGGGGATGATCACCAACCGGGTTTAAAGAAATTAATTTGCAGGCTCAATTGGGCTTAACAAAGGATAAAGTGTGTGTATGATAGAGAAAGAAATACTCTTCGTCATCCTAAGGCACTTGAGTTTCGTAGACATTCATCTAAAAAAGCAATACTCGAAGATTTATGCAAGTGAGAGTAAGGAAATTTCTATCCATTTTATCACCTCCTTATACCGACTTACCTCTAGTTTGCCCCAACGTGGAGTGGTTCTTGACAGGGGCAATTTTGAAAGAGCTTCTCCAAGTGTTTAGGTTCAAAGTGGCGAAAAGTGGCGGAACAATAGATAAAGTGTAGTGTTTGAGATAGAGAAATGAAATGCCTCTCGTCATTTTGGTTGCCGTACTTTTTGCGAGATAACTCTTTACCTTATCGACATGGAATTTTTCCACTCAACTTACTTGGGGATTAGTGTATGAACTGTGTATGGGGTGTGTTTTGCCTTTCTTCATCCCGATGCACCTCATTTAACACATTCAATTTACTTCACATGAATTATTAGATTGTCTAAGTAGATTTCTCTTTCGAAATCGATGATGCAGACTGACAAAATAACCATGCAGAATTTAAAGCCAATGCAAACATCTTAACTTGAAATTGATTGAAACCATTTATTCATCGGTGAAATGTTTGCAACTCAAAATACGAAAACCAAACGCTTGAAAACTTTTGCTGCAAAATGTTAGATTCTATTAGGGGTAATACATCTTCACAGCATTAAAATTAACAGGAGTGGAGAACTCACGATCGTCCATTTCTGCGAGAATCAGGGCACCTTCGGAAAGCACCTTTTTAACCACATATGGACCGATGTAGTTTGGGGCGAATTTACCCCCAGGAACAGGAAAGACTGGCACTACCTTCCTTAGGACTATATCATTTACCTCGAAGTGTCTTGGACGCACCTTTTGGTTGAAGGATCTAGCTATCCTCTGCTGATAGGTTTGACCGTGGAAAATGGCCTTCAATCGCTTCTCATCAATTAGGTCAACTGCTCATGCCTTTGTCGCATCCATTCCGCCTTAGACAACTCCACCTGGGACAAGACTCGCAGAGAAGAGATCTCTACTTCGACGGGCGGGCCTGCTTCCGTGCCATACACCAAGGAAAAAGGGGTTACCAGGACAGAGGTTCAGATCAAAGTCCGATACGCCATTAATGTAAATGGCAACCTTTCATGCCAGTCACGATAGTTTTTAGCTGTTTTGGCCAGGATCTTCTTGATGTTCTTGTTAGCGGCTTCAACCGCTCCATTTATCTGTGGACGATAGGAAGACGAATTCAGGTGCCGAATCTTGAACTTGTTGAACAACTGATCTATGAACTTGTTGTTCAAATTTGTTCCATTATCGGTGACAATAGCCTCAGGGACACCATAACGAGCGACTATGTCTTGCCTAATGAATCTTACAATGTTCCTTGCAGTGACGTTTGCATAAGACACCGCCTCAATCCACTTGGAGAAATAATCAATTGCGACCAAGATAAATCGGTGTCAATTTGATGCTTTTGGATTAATTGGGCCAATCACGTCGATGCCCCACATTGAAAAGGGCCATGGCTCGAACAACTAATGTAGTTCCGTCAGGGGAACATTTATTTTATCCCCGTGAACCTGACAGCGATGACATCTTCGGACATGTTGGATGTAGTCGCTTTCAAGACTGAGCCAATAATAGCCCAACCTCATGATCTTCTTAGCTAACATGTGGCCATTCATGTGTGAACCACATACCCCCTCGTGTACTTCTTGCATGATTCTGGTAGCTTCAACCACGTCCACACACCTCAGTAGGATCGAATTATAGGATCTTTTGTATAGCTTTTCACCACTGACAAAGAATTTTGAAGCCATTCTCATTATGTACTTCCTGTCGGCCGAGGTGCTTCCTTCAGGAAATTCTTGTCTCTGGATATAACTCATGATATCGTAATACCACGGCTATCCGTCAGGCTCTTCAGTCACAACCATACAGTAGGCCGATTTTGTCAGGACTTCGATCTTCAAGGGTTCTACCAGTCACTTGCAGCATGAATGATAACGTAGCTAGCGTATCAACGAACTGATTATGGGACCTCGACAAATTCTCAAAGGAGATGTCCTCGAATTCCTCCATGATTTCTTCAAGGTATTCGTGGTATGGCACAAGCTTAGCATCTCTCGTTTTCCATTCTCTCACCGTTTGGAGGATGATTAGAGCAGAATCACCATATACCTTCAATTTAGTTATCCCCATTTCAACTGCCGCTTGGAGTCCAAGGATGCAAGCTTCGTACTCGGCTATGTTGTTGGTACAGGGGAACACCAACTTTGTTGCTACTGGATAATGTTGTCCATCTAGGATGTTAAAACTGCCCCAGTGCCAGAACCAGCCAAGTTTACGGCTCCATCTTAAAACATGGTCCATGCGTCTTTCTTTATCACCAAAATGCGATCTTCTCGAGAATATCTATCATCATCGGGGATTCCAGGATTTTCGGCTAACACATCAGCAATTACTCGGCCTTTAATTGACTTCTGTGGCATCGTTTGGACATCAAACTCTGAAATTAAAATCTGCCTCTTGGCTAACTTCCCTACCAAAGCCGGTTGATCAAGTAAATACTTGATAGGATCGTTCTCAGTTACAAGAAACGTCTAGTAATACAATGTATATTGTCGCAACCTATGGAGCACCCATACCAGTGCAGCGCAAGTCTTCTCGACTTCAGGATAGTTCAACTCTGAGATGGTGAACTTCTTACTTAGGTAATAAATGACTCGCTCTTTTCCATCTTTAGGTCTTTTCTAGGCTAGCATCGCACCCACAGACTCACTATGAATCATGAGGTAAAGGATCAAGGGCTGCCCTAGTATTGGTGGGACTAGCACTGGTGGTTTCATCAGGTACCGCTTTAGTTCATTAAACGCTTCTCGACAATCATCATTCCATTCCACTTGAGCATTCTTCTTTAGAAGTTTGAAGAATAGCTTAGCAGTTTCGAAGAGCTGGGAAATAAAGCGGGCTATGTAGTTCAATCTACCCAGGAGGCTTTGCACTTCTTTCACAGTCAATGGGGGTTGTAACTCACATATAGCCTTCACTTTGGAGGGGTCGACTTCATTGCCTTTACTGCTTACTATGAACCAGAGTAATTTGCCCGGGGTTGCTCCGAATATGCACTTCGCTGGGTTGAGACGGAGCTTAAACTCACGGAATCTCTCAAATAATTTCTTCAAGGTATCGACGTGACTCTTCCTGGGTCGAGACTTAGCAATCATGTCATCGACATAGACCTCGATCTTCTTATGCATTGTGTCATGGAAAAGCGTCACCATTGCCCGTTGATATGTTGTCCTGGCATTTTTAAGGCCGAAGGGCATGACCTTGTAATGGAATGTCCCCCAAGGAATGATGAACGCCGTTTTCTCCTTATCGTCGTCTTTCATTTTTATCTGATTATAATTCGAGAAACCATCCATGAAGGAAAATAGCTCGAATCTAGCAGTACTGTCTACCATAACGTCTATATATGGCAATGGGAAGTCGTCTTTAAGGTTGGCCTTGTTCAGGTCATGATAATCGATGCAAACCCAAACTTGGCCATCCTTCTTCATGACCGGCACAATGTTGGCCACCCAGCTGAGGTATCGGGTGACTTCGATGAATCCCACTTTCAAGAACTTCATGACCTCCTCCTCTATTTTCTTCGAAAGCTCAGGCTTGGTTCTCCGTAACCTCTGTTTCTTGGGCGGTATGCCCGGATTAGTAGGCAGACTGTGCTCCACAATAGAAGGGTCTAATCCCGACATATCGGTGTACGACCAGGCAAAGACATCCCGGTAATCTTCAGCAGTTGGACCAGGCATTTTGCTTCACCTTCGGGAAGGGTTGCTCCTATCTTTACTTCTTTGGGCTCCCCTGAATCACTCAGGTTAAGAGTGATAGTTTGGTCTGATGTGAGGACTTTGGGCCTTTCATGATGCTCTAAATCACGCTGAATATCTGAAGAGTTGTCGAGTTCGTCAGTGTCATCGGGGTCAGGCTTGATGGCGCATAATTCATCAAATTGGACCGATCCCATACCCTCACGTATCACAAGATTGCCCCTGAAATATAAAGTAAGGGATTCAGAAGGACAAACAAAGCTAAACATTGAATTTTTTTTTGGATTTTTTGAAATTCTTTTCAAAAAGGTTTTAACACAAGGGAGCATGAAGAAGCCCAGGCCTCAGAATTCTCCTTGGACTATATTTTTCTTTTATCGGTTGGATATCATCACCGGGTTAGTTTGATGTACCTTAATATGCCCTCAAAAATGAAAATAACATGTAATTTCATTGATTATCACCAAATGAATTACATTTATTGGAATGAAAATTGCAACAATCAAGTCCTAGAAATGAAAAGTCATGAGAAGCAGCTCCCAAGACGGGGCAAGTCCTAAAAAGCAGTGAAAATTCCCACGCAGGGGAGTGTGCAAAAAAAAAGTAAAGGTGTTACTCTTGCGGGTCAGTACCCATTCCCTTCAACGGTCCTTCCTCGATAACTCCAATAAACATGTCATCGAACATGGCAGTGATTCCTTCCATTGCATCATCGGGGTCTTCCATCACTAGTGGTGTTGGATTATCCATACCTCCCCATCCATTGGAGACAATATCACGCGGGTCAATATAGAAGCTCAAGGGCGTCGAGTATTTTACATAGTAGTCGAAATTGCCACTCGGTTGCCCCAATGTATCGATCACCTCCTTCTTTTCGTACATTATTCTTGCAGGGCCTGAGAATTGGCGTGGGTGTGTGGAGGCAACCTATCACGCCCAAGCTCTTCATTATTTTGTGTACTTTCACGCCCACGTTCTTCACCATTCAACTCTTCCTCTAATCCTTGTCTATTTTGCCCGTCTCCTCGACCACATCCACATCCTCTGTCACGTTGTCTACTTCCACGTCCATGTCCTCGTCCCTCATTATTCGGCTCGCTTACCCTTTTACCCTAACCCAGTAGTGTGGGGCCTTTGAGAGATTTCCACCGGTCGGCGGATACCTTGACCATTCCTATCAAGTCCTTCACTCGGGTTAAAATCATGGGACACCATCACTCTTCCAACCATGACTGCAGCATTTGACATCTCAGGAACGGGCAGCGCTGAACCCTGAGACGTATGTATGGTCGATACGAGCTCAAGCGATTGATAGCTCGATTCTATTTTGTAATCTGGCTTAACATAGGGGATAGCTGTTGCATGATAAATTGAGTGCTCTTCTTCACCGTGGACCGTGACTAACTTTCTCTCCACAACGAACTTCACCTTTTGATGTAAATCGGATGGCACAGCTCCGGTAGTATGAATCCATGGACGACCCAACAGAAAATTGAATGCAGTGAGAATGTCCATAACTTGAAATAGGATGTTGAACATTATTGGTCCTATCTGTATGTCAAGGTGGATTTCTCCCATCACTTCTTTCTTCGTTCCGTCAAAGGCTCGCACGGAGGTCTTGGCAGAATTTATCCTAGAAGGATATATCTTGAGGCGGTGCAAAGTCGCCAGAGGACAAATGTTCAAGGATGATCCGTTGTCAATGAGTACTCGAGCTACATGTGAGGCCTTGTATTTGACAGAAATGTAGAGTGCCTTGGTATGCCCTCTCCCTTTAAGAGGGAACTCTTCGTCCGAAAAGGCTATGAGGTCTTTGAGGAGTATAGAACCCACACATTCCTCCAATTTGTCATGATCGATTGTCTCGGGCACGTGGACTTCACTTAACATCTTCATTAGGGTCTTTTGATGTTTGACAGACGTTTGGAGGAGTTCAAGCAGAGAGATTTGCACGGGCATCTTGCACAGTTGTTCAACTATATTGTATTCGCTAGCCTTAATCACAGCCAGAAACTCCTTGGCTTCTTCATCGGTAATAGGTTTTATAGGTTGGACATTAGCTTGGCCATAGGTACGCCCAGATCTTGTATTCAAGTCGACATTGAGACCGTAAGACCAATGGACGGCCTTATTATTACTGTACTCATATGGTTGAGGTATCTCGATTACTATTCCTTCATCAGCTGTAGGCGTGCTTACTACGATCCTTTCATCATCGGACGCGTCCTCGAGCGGAGGCATGTCCTCAAGTAGAGGGTCGATCTTGTCTTCTCCGGTGTTTAATGCAGCAAACTCCTCCTCCCAATCAATAACCACTTTGAAGATAGTGGAAACGATGCCAGTGTGATCAGCATAAACGATCATCCCGGCTTCTACCATTCTGGAAATTCTTTCTCTCATGATAGCTAAGGGAAGGATCTCATTATTCGGGTAATAACCGGCTTCACTAACTCATTATAAACATCGGTAGTACGCACCTTTATATTCTTGATCCGACCAGCATCGAAACTGAATATGACATTCACATTGCCCGCATGATCAGAGAGCAGGTAGCTCTGACCATTCGGCTTAGCGGGTTGGAAGGAAAATGCCTTCGTGTCAAGCAAGTTCTGGACCCAATGCTTGAGAGTGATACAGTCGTCAGTTGAATGCCTCACTTCACCCATATGATAATCACATTTCTTGGATGGATCATAGTTATATAACTGCTCGGGGTTGGGCTGCTTTAGCTTAGTGGTAAGCAAACCTTTCTTCCGGAGAACTGCCAGCACTTGAGACAACGACCCGAGGAGGGGGGTGAATTGCCTCTTGTTGTTCTTCTTCTGAAAGGGTTGATGACCCGTGCTTTGTTGTTGAGCTTCTGCTACTTGAATTGCCGAAGCAGGATTAACATTCCGCCGGCCCTATTGGGTATAAGTTACATTCACTTTAGCTGCCGGTTCCTTCTCCTTTCTTGCACTAAATCTTTTGGTCGAGGAAGATGGCTCTACGAACCACCCGTCTCTCAGCCCTATCTCGATCTGCTCGCCTATGGGGATAAGTTGATTGAAGTTATCAGCCGGGATGGCTACCATTCGATTACGGTACTCATATGAGAGGGTTTTGATGAACATCCTCTTCAACTCACTGTCTATAGGTTCTGAGACAACCTGAGTGGCTATATTTCTCTATCTAATAGCGTAGTCTTTGAACGACTCGGTCTTTTTCATTTGAGCACGTTCGAGATCCTCACGGGTAGGAATGATGTCCGTTATGAACCTGTAATGCTTTAGAAATACTTTACTAACTTCCTTTCAGGTTTTGAGGCTATTTATTTTCTTCACGAGATACTAGTTCAAGGCAGGACCTGTTAAACTTGCTTGAAATGTACGGATCATCAGGAGTTCATTACCAACATACGGAGTCATCTGCACGTGATACAGCTACAGGTGACCTTTTGGGCAAGAGGTGCCATTGCACTTGTCAAAATCCGGCATCTTGAATTTTTTCGGAATTTTGATCTAGGTGTAAAGAGACAAGTCGATTGAGGGCGAATCATGTGAGCCTTCAGGCTGTTTCACTCTTTCTTCAAGCTTATTGACCCGTTTGTCATGCTCTGCACTTGTCGCGCCATCAGGTTTATCTTTGTTGACGATGATCTGGACAGGGTCATCTACTAAATCAGGAAGATCATCATCCTCCTCACTATCGGCATTCTTTCCACCTTTCTGCTTTGGATCCGGTGTCTCGAGAGGTGTAGAAATAGGAGTCGATCGAAGGGCTTTGATGTTGGAGGACATTTGTTGCATTGCGGTGAGAAATTGCTTCATTTGATCCTCAATACCAGCGACGCGATCACGCAATTCAATTTGATCGGCCATTCTTGTCCTTGACCTCGTACGAATAGGCGAGCGTGATCACTCCGTAATCACCTAATTCGCAAGCAAATGAGCATATATAAGTATTAAGAACAAATAACACGCCAGTCCATGACACAGGTCTACCCGCTTTGATTTATAAAAAAAAACTTTGTTCATAAGGAATTCTTGAACAAAAACTATGAAAGCAACGACTTGAAATCCCCTAAACAAATATGCTAAAATAATGACCCAACTTCCTAAACAACGAATCTAGAAAGAAAAATATCTTAAAAGACACGAGCCATTTCATTTGGATTGATCAATATACAATTGGGATGTGATTTCCAAACATAATCGCTTATTCTCCTTGACTAAGTGTGTAACTTACTCTTGTAACTTTTCAGCTTTTCTCTTGAGACATCTTTTCTCAGCACAGTTGGTGATCTTCTCAGGCACCTTTGGTATCTTCGGGAGTAAGTTATCTGGAATCTTGTGTTGTCAAATGTATGCAGTTGTAGCATAATACTTTCTTTCTTTACCCTCTAATTCTTTTTTGGGCCATATGAGCATTTGTGGATGGCACATGTCCCACAACGACTTGATTAAAGAAATGCTATCCTCATGGTCAAGGTCTTCGTCGGGAAGCTCTTGCACCACTTGATACCGGCGAGTTATCCTAGTCGGGTAATATTCCATTGCCCCAGTGAATCCCAGTAAAGGGATTGGGCCAACACATCCACATGTGAGTCTGACCTCACGAACTTGGAACCATTTAGCATCCCATAGGAAATAATTGGACTTTGAATTTTTAAAGAAAGCCAGCCAATTGGAATAATGATAATCCAGTGCATGTTTTTGTTTATTCTCAAATCTCATGATAGGGTGATCAGAGTTGTTAACTTCACGTATGATCATTAAACCACCAAACCCTTTTAAGTGAGATAAGAACCAAATTTGCAAAAACTCAGGAGAAGCATGGAAAATTTTGTCACCATTTTCTTTAAATTGAGAAAGGGAAAGAAAAGTTTCTGCCAGAAGGGCATTAACAAAGTTCATTCCCCTGCACACTTGTCCCACTAACTTAGCAATCAAAGGATTGATAGCATTCTTACAGTGAGGAAAAAGTATAAATCCAAAGAAGGCTACTAGGAAAATCTTTCTCATTTGAAATGAGGTGCAATTTTGAAAACATTCATCAAGAAATGAAAACGGGCAAGTATTGCGGTGACCTTTCAAAACTTTTCTTATCTTTTCTTCCTTGATTCTCAGAAAATCAGATAAAATCGAGACCGGATCTATTCCGATAGGCGGACTAATTAATTCCAATTCTAAAGGTTTCCAATGGCAATGCTATATTCTTCCAAGGTCGGAGTGAGCTCAGGCTTACCAAAGATGAAAGTAGTTGTCTCTGGACACCAACATTGGGCAAGTGCTTGGATGAGGCCGCCATGGATGTTGATACACAACAGAGGGAGGAGTCGGCCAATTTTTGACTCCACGAACTCACGGCTAGCTTGGTCTAGCTTGTCCCACCACACGTTAAGTTCCTTCTTGGGAGGAAGAATAAGTCGAATGTTGGAATTTCCCATTGTATATTGACAAAGACTTGCGATCAACCTAGTGTCGTGGACCGATAAGACAATACGATAAAGTAAATAAATTGCGGAGAAAAAGTTCAAAGGACTTACTTTACCAATAACCGGGTGGCAATCACATAGACATACGCATGCTATGTGGCTCGATTTCTACTCTAGAAGGCTTAACAAAGTGGAGCCACGAGGATGATCGGACTAGCCACGGGCATGCAGACTAAGTCGGGTCCTCGTGACTCCGGCATCATCAAACAGCTGACCCATGTCGCGAGCATGCGGACCGGGGTGGTAATCTCTTTGACATCTAGAAAGAAATTTCGGGATTGAGATGGGCAACTCGTACCGCGGGCGGATGGTCAGAGTGGTATCCATCTCAATTCCATTTTAGGTGATCCTATGCGGCCCAGGTCCGGCGACAGGTTGTGTGTGCTAGAGTGTAGTGAAAATGCATAGGCATGCACAACAGTTTATAAACAAACATCGCTTCTATATCAAAATTAAAACATCCAATCTCAACACTACCCTACAAGAAAATGGTTAACAAACACTCCACCCCTTATAACTCCCATTCTGCAAAAACATTTAACACCTTAAACATTAGGGACGTACCTGAAATCGTCGCTGCTAAACAAAAATATATTATTTTTTTTCAAAAAGAGAAAATTTGGCCTAAGTCCATTAAGAGTTTTAACTCAAGTTCCCAGCGGAGTTGCCAAGCTGTCGCGACCTACCCTCAGGTGCACCACCTAGGGGTTCGGCTAATGGATTATTAAGTCTAAGCTTAACTCGAGCTCTCCCTAACCCTTATCAATTCGCGACTTAAGGTTTAAGTTCTTAACATGTAATTCATTTCAATCGGGAGTCGCCACTAATCTATTTTTGGTTGGTCGATTAGAAATCCAAGTAAAGTATCAGGAGAATTACTTTACTCCTACAAATCAGAGATTATGGATTCGGGGACTTGATTACGCTAGATTACTCTAGCGCCCTTTCGGTACCTTTCTCTTTTATTTAAAAAATTGTTTGCAGGCAGCTTGGATTGATTTTAAATTACTCCTAACATGTGAGGTGATCATGCGGGTGCGTAATCAATAATATAACACTCAATAATGCAAAGCAATAAATAAATTGCAAGGATGGATAGAAAATACTTACCTTAGAGCAACAAAAGCATATGTAATGTTAGTTAGAAAAATCATATCAACAACCCTAATATGATTTCTAATTAACACGCAATTTCACTCACATTTTTTAGGGTTTTCTCTGATTTAACAAAAACTAAACTTTATGCAATGCATTCTACGTCTAGTATGACATGAAACGTACGATTTATGTAAATGTCCAAATTCTAATATGGCACGCAAATGAACCTACACGTACGATTTCTAATGACACGCGAGCAATGACACATGGCAAGGTATGAATGACGTGGCAAGACGACATGCGAGCATGATGCAATTAATCTATATGACATGCACGTGGTATTTTTTATATTTTTTAATTTAAATTCGGAATAAATAACTAACCTAATTTAAACATGTAATAATAAAATATAAGAAAAGAACCTAATCTATTGTAAGAAAATAATCAAAATTTATCCTAAACAAGCAATATATTATCTACTCAAATTTTACCTAATCTTTTTGTATTTTTTTTTATGGAAAGAAGTTCAAAAAAAAAAATAATAGCAATGAACACGACACCCAATCACAAGAAATATTATCCATATCCATTTAAATTTAAAAATAATAAATTGACAAATCATAGCTCGGGCACGAGGATCGGATTGATCAATCTTCCGCACAATCGCGAATCATATCTCGGGCGGGAGATCGGATTGACGATTTTTCATGCGATCGCGAGTCATATTTCGGTCATGAAATCGGACTGTCAATCATATGCACGTTATAAAATCAGGAAATAATTCCTAATTTAAAATTTACTCGGGAATTTCATGGATACGGCAGCATCGCTCAAAGATTCACACAAGATTGTAATATTTTAAACAATGAAATAATATACTAGAAAGTCAAATTATATGAGCTTTTTACCTAATTCGAATATTTGCTTTCCAAGTTTGAATGTCTTGGGATCGGCAGATGGTGGCTCGCAGTGTGATTCGGCCAAGCAGCGGGCGGCGTCTCGGTGCAAGCGAGTGTCGCGGTGCAAGAAGCCTCGCGACGTGGTCTTGGTGATCGGACAGTGATTGTGGCGGCTCACCAAAGGAGATCTCTTGGTCTTTTAGTTTGACCAAATAATCCCCACCAACAGTTAGGACTTTTTGTTTCTTTCTCAAGAATTCACAAGCAACTCACCATGCAATAGAAGACAAGTTCCACGGCTGGACCGACAGCAGCTAATCGCAATGGCTCGGTGGATGGTCGTCAAGGCGAAGATGCTCGCTCAAATTGCTTGAAGATTCGCTAGAACCTGCTGGACAGCCACTGGACCCTTGGTTCGCTAGTCTGGTGCTAAGATTGGAGGAGTGAGTTGGAGCAATTGTCCGTTCAGCGCAACAATGGCCGGACGTCGTCGGATCAGTAGCTCAACGCAGAACAGCGGCTGATGCCGCGGCACAATGAAGGAGCTCGTCGAGACAGCAGGCTCGACAGACTGGGGCAGCAGCGAGTCTCGAAGGCTTGGCCATAGGTCTGGCCGTGAGGGAGAGGAGTTCGGCCACGAAGGACTCAGGTGAGCCCTCTCTCTCTTCTCTCAATTTCTCTATGTGTTTTTCTCGTATGTCAAACTCTCTAAAAGAAAAGCCCCCATTCTTGTCCGTAGGAAGTCCTTTTTATAGGTGAGAGGGCCGAGGCTTTTCAGAGAAAGAGAACCTCTTAGTGATATTTGAGATATATTGTGCTCTGACTTCTTTCTTTCCTGATCCTAGCATATATTGCACTTGCCTTTTTTAAGACTAGAGAATATGGCCAAACTTATGTTCTTCCCTGCACGTGATCAATTTTCTTTCTGTCCACGCCACCGAAAGACGTGAAGGCCTCCATGATAGTGTCCAATATATTATTCAAAATATATGCCCCCATGCTGACCAAATTCCCTTTGCTTCTTTCCCTCTTTTGTTATTTTCTTTCCCTTTCTTTAATTTCGCATGTGCAAAAATCAATTTTCTTTCCTTCTCACCCCTTTTTAAGCGTGGCTTCGCAATCTTCCCGTGAATAATATGGCCAAGGATAAAACGATTTACTTTCTTATTTTTCTTCCTTTGTTCCTCTGCCCATGTTGAGTTAATCTACCCAAATCAACTTTGCTCTTTTTCTATATTCGTTTTTTCAAATAACCAAGTGACCAAAAGATTTTCACGATATTGTCTCAATATCCCATAATCCGATTTGTCACATGCGCAACGCACATGTTAATCTTAACCACTTTAGGGAATAAAGGGTTTGGCTGAATCTTCAATTCACACGGGCTTGATCCAATTAATTCCATTGAGCTCGGAACCATTCGCTCAAACTATTCGCCGTCGATCCGATAGATATGCAAACTATATGGGCCTAATTAACTATTAATGAAATGCTCCTAATATCTGTATGCAATTTAACTAATATTTTTTATTTAGGGGTCGGGATCGATCCCTAATTTTCTATGCAATTTTCCTAAATGATTAGTTAAATTTAGGTGTCAATAGTCAGATTTGGTTTGCCGGTGGCTGTAGCCCTTCCCCAGTTCTGGCGAAGGGTAACTTTTTTTTTTTATAATAAAAAAGGGTCCCAAAGCCTTTTGCAAAATAAAAATTAGCCAAACACTGCTTTGGCCAAAGTAGCTACACAAAGAATTTTTTATTAAACGTCATTTGCATTTCCCCAATGGACTTTAACCTAAAGGTATTTACATTCTCCGAAGATACATTTTCAAAGTTGAATCAAATGGGCCCTATGTATAGCGGCCTTGAGTTCAAGAGGCTTGATGGTGGGATGCTGTGGCGCAACCATTAAGGTCGGTTGCGCTCGTCCAAATCTAGGCAAGGGTAAGGAATAAGGATGCCTTAGCCTATTCCCTCTAGGCCCTCATTGAGAACCCCGACAAAGAAAGGGGTGGCGGCAATGCCTATTAAAAAGAGGATTAATTTAAACCCTTCATCTAAGTTAAGAAAGGGCTTAAATTTTTTTTAGGATTTAGGACTAGACATAACCTTATTATGAGCATTATGCGATGTCAGTGGCTTACAATGAGACTTAGGGCCCGTTTGGCAACGTGTCAAACAGTGAAAATTTCTGTTCTTTTGTTCCCAGAAATAGTTTGGGAACAGAAATGCGTTTGGTAAACTTTTTGTTCCGGGCACATTTTTGCAAAAAATTGTGCCGAGAAAGCTTTGATTTGGAAGAGAAACAAGAAGTAAAAAAAGTTGCTTATTGTTTCTGGCACAATTTTGAGAATCAGTTTTTTTTCTTCTTTTTCTTTTTTTTCTTTTCTTATTTTTGTGTTGTTCTTCCCTGGGCTGGGCCGGCCGCCGGCGATCGGCCACAGCCCAGGGCCGGCGATGGCGTCACGGCCCTCGCCGGGCGCCGGCGGAGGCGAGGGTCGCCCTCGCGGCCGCCGGCGGAGGCGAGGTGGCCCTCACCGGCGAGGGCGAGGCTGGACCCTCGCCGCCGGGCGAGGCCGAGCCTCGCCGTCGGCCCGCGACGGCGAGGTCGGCCTCGCCAGACGGCGAGGCTCGGTCTCGCCTAGATCTGGCGAGGCCGAGCCTCACTGTCGCGACCCACGACGAAGATCTGGGCGAGGCCGAGCCTCGCCGTCTCTGGGCAAGGCCGCCTCGCCCTCGCCGGCGAAGGCGACCCTCGCCTCCGCCGGCCTTAGGCTGTGGCCGGTGGCCGGCTGCCGGCGACCAGCCATGGCCAAAGAAGAAAATGGGTAGAAAGAAAAAAAAAATTAAACAATTCAAAATATTATTAAAATATTATTTGGGAACAGAAATTTTATGTAGTTATCAAACGCATTTCTGTTCTTTTTTACTCTAGGAATTGAAATTTTGGACAGTTTATCAAATTCCTTCAAATACTCAGAAATTATTTTCGGGCACAGAATAAAAAACATCATTTCTGTTCAGAAATAGTTTCCGGGCACAGAATGGTATTCATGCGCACCCTTATTATTATTCAAGAAAAGCCATGTGGAATTTGTTCATCCCTCAAAATGGACGGAACTATAATAGATACGTAGTTATTTGCATCAGCAATTAATTCTACTTTATTACAAGTTCGAGGATTTTAATGATTTCGAAAAAAACACAACTCTATTGAAATAGACGAGGAAGTGATAGAGTAAAACCCTCTTTCTTCCTCGCTCCGGCGCTCCTAAGCAAGTGAAGCGCCCGCCTTCGCCTTTGCGCTCGTCTCAATCCGACCGGCGAAGAGAAGCCTGAAACGAGGGTCGCTTCGAGAGCCCTTTTCACCCATCGGGCAGAACCCGCGGATATCGCGAGAAAAATCGTTGCTTTATTCGAATTTCGTTTCATTTTTGGCCGACAACACAGAAGATGGCGGAATCGGAAGCCGGATCTGCGGGAGCAACGGAGACGTCCCTGAAAGACAAGGGCAACGAGTTCTTCAAAGCGGGGAACTACCTCAAGGCAGCTGCGCTCTACACTCAGGCCATCAAGCAAGATCCTCAGAACCCCGCTCTGTACAGGTCTCTTCGCTCTGTTTGATCAAGAGTTGTCTTTTTAGTGCTGTTTTTTTGCCAGTGCAGTTTGGTAAAGTGGTTTTTGGTGACGATTGAGACCTGGGGTTTGTCGGGTGCTTTTGTTCTTTTGGTCAAGTGGTTCAGTCGCTGACTCAATGTACTAGTGTGGCTTTGCTTCTTTCTGAAGAATGTTTGGTGAATGTGGGAAAAAAGGGTGGGTTTTGGGAGTCTTTTCTTTACCAATTTAGCCTATTTCTAAAGACTAAATTTGAGGCTAGGGGTTGGATAATATCTTGGGTGATGATAACTAACCTATATAGTTTTTAAGAAAGTGTAGGGGAAATTTGAGCTGAACGTTTGCTGCCAATGGGTAAGCTTGACTTGTTATATAGTTGGTGGTAACTTTTACAATTGTATTATTTCCAACCATAGTTGATGCCTGGTGGTAACTTTTGGGAATATGTAATCTTGAAAGTGATAATGTATTCTAGTGTTTGGTGTGTGTGGAGAACTTTGAAGAATATGATCCTGAATTGTTGATTTTGGTGGTTAGTGTACCTATATCTTAAGAAATCTCTGTGCACCTTGTAGTTTTACTTGTTGACCATTGCGGTGAAAAGACTTGGAGTGTCAACAAGTAGTGTCCTTTGAGGTATAATGTTGTGTAATCAGGGCTGATCTTTGACTAGGAAAAAGAATGGATCTGCGGGGTCCCAAATGAATTGGCTTATTCGAAAAAAGCCTTGTTCTTTGGAAGATCTATCTCATGTCTGGTACTGCATGGTTCCACTTTGCAAGAACTCCAAATCATTCTCTCAAAGCTTCATGGATTTGATTCTTTCGATGGATACAGGGATTCGTATTGAAAATAATTAGAAATTTAGGAATTCGAAGCGTATGATTAAGAATTGCCTTTCGATTGTTTTAGATTGATTGGAATCAAGACAAATTAAATAGATGAAGCAAAGAAATAGAATTGGGATTCTATGTACATTACATATATTAATACATATATCAAAAAGCTACATATTGTAGATTAATCTATAATAAGCCTGTCTGTGATAGAAATAGCGATGCTCAACTTAGTGAAATTTATGTGGCTTCTATTTCTTTGCTAAGAAGGAAAAAGGAACGTTGACTTAAATATGGAGTATTCCAAAGAGTTGCCTAATAGGGTGAAGGCAAAACCAGGAACAGGATTAGTGGGAATCCACATAAATTGTTATCTGGTTGCTTGCCTAGAAATGTTGGTTGAGTCAGTGGCCACTGTCATCTTCACTCAATTCATCAGTCGTGGTACTTTGACATGTCTGGTAACAACATTGAAGCGAAAAGATGTGGAATAGCACCAGCGAATAGTTTCATAGTAAAATCTGCAATTTTTTTCCCCTCATCGTTTGTATTAGAATTGGCAACACACTTCTTTTGTTAGATAGCGCGTAGTTTACTTGGCATCTTCAAGTCCTTGTTGTAATTTTCTGTAAGACATCTGGGGCTGAGCAGATTCCATTGTTCAGATTGGCATACAAGTATAGTTTCTAACTTTAGTATTGTTTTTCCAGCAACCGAGCTGCTGCCTTCCTGCATTTGGTCAAGCTCGGTAAAGCACTAGCTGATGCTGAGACAACAATCACGTTGAATCCCCAGTGGGAGAAGGTACATTGTACGTGCTTCTTGTGTCTATGCGGCTGGATGTTTCTTTTCTCTTCTTATTCAGGGAAAGCTGATGCTTGTCCAGGGCTATTTCAGAAAAGGATGTGTATTGGAGTCAATGGAACGATATGATGAGGTATTACATGAGAACACCCATCATTTCCTTTTCCTCTTTTATTATTTTTTTGCCTTAGACCAGGTCTTTCGTGCTTCAACAAGTTTGTTGCCTTCATGTATAGGCCTTAGCTGCCTTCGAGACTGCCATGCAATATAATCCACAAAGTTCGGAAGTAACAAAGAAGATTAAGAGGTTGAACCAGTTGGTCAGAGATAAGAAGCGGGATCGGGAGGTTGAGAATTTGAGATCCAATGTTCAGATGGCGAAGCACTTAGAACCACTAAAGTCCGAACTGGTAGGCCTTATTCTTCACTGGCTGTCTTTCTAGGGTACATGTTTATAAGTCTTATTTGCTATCCTGTTCTTACACGTGCTATTTAAATTTAGATGTCCTTTAGTTTCCTGTATTAGTCTATCAAGATTTTTAGTATCCTGGTTCTTCAGACACCTGATGAGGTCTAAGAACTTGGACAGAGTTCCTTCGAAACTTTTGACGATAAATTTGAATATCTCTCTTTTATGCAGTCTGGGAAGTATGGCCAGAAAGAAGGATGGGAAGATGTACTGTCATTTGTCGTTGAGACATTGGAAACAGCAGTTAAATCATGGCATGACACTTCTAAGGTTGACCCTAGAGTTTATTTCCTCCTCGATAAAGAAAAGACAGACACTGAGAAATATGCTCCTGTTGTTAATATTGATAAGGTATTGGGATCTATTTCAATATTTTCTCTGCGAGTTATATAACAAAGTTAACACCGTAGTTTCTTTTCGTAACTATCCTGGCAATTTTGAAATTTTACCTTTTGTTTGAATGTCTAATGAGACAATACACATTGAGTTTCTTCACCATTCTACATTTGTGGAATTAGACTCCAATGATGATATGATATCATATTGTGGTTTGACTTCTTTCTGTAATTTTTTGCAATGTGCCAGGCATTTGAATCACCTCATACCCACAGCAGTTGTTTTCCATTTCTTAGACAATATTCTGAGGATTCGTTCTCCAAAGCAGCTTGCTTAGTTGCTCCCAAAAGCATTATTTCTTACCCTCAGGTACTATTAATTTCTGCAATGTTAATGCATTGATTTTGGTGTATGAAATGTTGGATATGCTTTCTGAATTGTGCTTATACATACTCAGTTTCTGGAAACATTTAGTTTCATTGGCATGCACCAAAACAATGGATTAGTTTACCCAACTGGAAGATGGCTTGTTTATTTATCTATTCTCAGTTTTGTCAATCTATGAAACTCAAATTTATTCTCCTTTTTTTTTTCCTTTCAGCTGCAAATCTGTCTCTCTTGGTAGAAGAAAATTGAGAACAAGGAATCTTGAATATGTATGGAAGAGTAGAATAGAATAGGACGTTGTACATAATGAAATGCATTTGCATGGAATGTGAACTCTTTTCAGACACCTAATTACTTTTCAAATAGCAATGCTGTTAACCAGAAAAATAGAGTTGGCAACAGCATCCCGACATTTGGAGTTGGCAAAAACTTTTGCGATATCATAAAATGAGAGTTGCTTTGGTTCTTCAGCTGAAATCTTTTAGAATGATAATCACATTTTTCAGAGCATGCTTATTTAATCCTCTTAAGTACTTTGCTTTTGTACTCTGCAATTACATACTTTGCTTTCATGAGAACTTGTTATCGACATTCAAATGTTTGTAGATTTGGCTGGCATGGAAGTTTTCTACTGGAAGAAATTCACTTTAAGACTAGATCTGGCATTTATAAGTTGTCACGTAGTCTATTCCAACCATTTCACAAGTTGGGTGTTTTCGCCTTATATACATATGTCGACATTCCTGAAAATACACATTCAATGGTATAGTGATGGTTCTAATTTCATCTGGTTGGTCAAATGATATTCTGACAGGTCTGGAAAGGCCAAGGTTCAAGGAAGTGGAAACATGGGCAAAATGATGGGTTCTTTGTCCAATTTGAATGTCCATCCAGTCGGAAATTATGGTTTATCCCTAGTTCTACCGAAAGAGGAAAGATATTGTGCAGGTTTCTTCTTCTCCTACCTCACTTTGGTCTCTTGCATTCATACTTCTATTAGTATAAACTGAGTATTTCTGTTTCTCATCTGTACCCTTTAAGTAAACAAAGAGATAAAAGCCAAAAGAGAGTACTGGAGCGTTCTTTCCACTCAGCTAGAATGTCAGATGTATAGAATTTTTTTCAGCTAGTACCGTTTCTGCTTGATATATTATTATCAACGTACTTTCAAAAATCCTTAATCTTTAGTTTATGGTAGGTTTTATTTGTTTTTGCGATTGGGCTTTGGTAGAAGGAACTTACTATGTACACCCAGTGTGTGTTCCCTTTCTCTCACCTTTAATGTGTACCCCATCCATGTGGGATCCCTAATTATGTGAGAGTGTATACTGGTGTATCTCAAACCTTTTTGGTAGAATTGTACCCTCCTGCAAACTGGTTTGGTGATTCGTCTGAGTTTGTTTTTTGTGAACTTCGGGAGTCACGGAATGCTATGCATGTTCTTTTCCCTATGTTTCCCGTGTTTCAGAATTTGGAAATCAAGCTCTTTTATTTTTTTGGCCTCCACAATATTATATTCTTGCAGTTCTATTAGCAGTCTTAAATAAGGTAATGACTAATACTGGAATCTCTTTCTCCTCTAGTGATGGCACTGCTTCCGCAATATTTAATGAATTATCCAGTGGCTTCTTGAAACATCCCCTTGAAAATCTCTTCAACCAATAATTGGATTGTATTGTATGGTTTAATCCAAGATATTGTCACAGAAAAACCTGGATAAGAAGGCTGTTGGACACTTTAGATGACTTAGAAATTTCAATTAGATAACTAGAGAAGCTGTTCTATATTAATATTCTCTTCAAAAAAGAAATCAAATCTAGGTATTTTAGACTGTAGTTAGGTAATATTTTAGGTGGCCAAGCAAAAAAAAAAGGTACCATTTTGGGAAGAGTGTCTTCCCTAATATTTTCTTCGACAGTTATATAGTGTACTTTCCCTCTACTATCTAGGTTTCAACAAAATCTCTTGGTAAAACAAATTACTTCTTATTCTTCAAGTAAACTTGACCTTTGAATGAGCTAAGGGTCCTGGATCGACTTTCACTTGTTACTTTTTGCACAATTCAAATCTTACAGCTCATGTACTTTGATTTTTTTCTTAAATCTGAAACACTTGAAATTTTCACAAAATGCAAATGGCAATTCGTAGAGTTACGTATAATTTTTTTACTGAAGTTTGAATAATATTTTAAATCTTAATGGAAAAACATGAAGTTTTTGCTTTTATTTAAGTTGAAACGAACAAGTCCTGGCTTGCAGCTATCTCTTATACATTTTTTAGGTGGTATTATGCAATTGTGTCATATTTATCTCTGTGGCTGAATATTTGGAAACTAGTATTTCCGCACCTATTTCGTTAGATGCTCCAACTACTTTCCTCTCGGCATTGATGTATCATCAGGCATAGAATTATTATCTTAATCTAATATTGATGAACTTGGCTTTGATATTATGAGGGTATTATGGTAAGGACTAATGAGCAATCTTAGACAAGTGTGCTATCCTATAACAAACTGCCCTTCTCTTGGCCTTAAAAGGGATTGCCTTTTAGTCTTCAACGCCATTAATCTATACCATAAGGCACTCATGCCTCATAATCTTTCTAATCCATAGGATTCACAATGGGACAAGTGGAGAGGATACTAGCGGAACCAAACTCACCTTATCAGACTAACAAGATAATTCTAGCCGTTAATGTCATCAAGTCTCAAGGGAGGAAGAAATTGAAAGTGTATATAGACCGAATACTTTAGCCAACTCTTATTCCTCAACTTCTCGCAGAAGTTGGCTTGATTTAGGAATGGCTAGGGGTATTATACTCTTACATACAACCACATAGGCATTTGCAAGATGTTCTCATAGAACAACAATACAAACTTTTACAGATGTAGGGACAATAATAAAAGTACTTCGGCCAAAAGTAGTGGTCGGCGTAACATGCAGTGCAATAATACCATCCTAGTGGACAAACTGCTTTATTAAAATTGATACTTTTTTACGGGCTTGTGATATGGGTCAAGATTTGAGTTTGCATCATCTAATTGGAATATAGATTTACTAAGCTAGTGCTTGGTCCTAGATGGAGCTTGAGGTCTATGTGTTGAGTGCTGTAGTTGGGTCCCAAAGGTCATATGCGTGGTCTGGGATGTAGTTGCTACCTGTCTTACTCGTTGGCTTATGATCTTGGGTTGAGAATTGGTTGTGGCTAGTTGTCCAAATTTATAAGCTTGAGGTTAGAATCTCCATAAACCTTTGGCCTTTGGGAAAAATCCATTAGTTTTCATAGATTCCCTCCGGATTCTTCTAAAGCTTGTTGATGACCTTTCCGGTCGTCTTATATGTTTGGTAATAATCCTATGGAACTTTTTCTTCATAAGCTCAGGGTCATATGGACTATGGGATGGTGCGATTCTTTTTGCAAAGAATTCTCTGGATTTCTCTATATTCGACTTTAAGATCTACAACACCACATTCAACGGATGTGTATGCGTTTGCAGTGGAATATGCACAATTAATTTGCTGTGGGGTGCCAAAGTTGTATAGGTGAACATAGAATCTTTTCCAAAGGTATAAAAATTTATGGTCTATTGAAAATAATGTTCGTTTGAATTTTAGAATCCGGATTGAGATCAAACTCTCTGAGAAATAGCTTCTTTCAATAACTCAAGGAATTAAACCACTCAAGAACTTCTATAAAATGACTGAGATCATGTTGTTGATATTCTTCGTGGATGGAATCATCGATGATTGTGCGAACTCTTGCAGTGGGAAACTCAGTGGCTACAATGTGATTATCGAAGAAATTCCCGTAATGCCATTCTTTAGGGAAATTCACCAGATCAAATGAGAACACATGAATGAATGGTTATTCCAGATGCATTTCACACGGTCGTAGGTTTAATCTTCCATATTATCTGAAAATGTCAAGTTGATATTCCCGCATGAGATCTTTACACCAACTGAAGAATCTTCCTGTGGTAACAAGCTGGAGGATTTCCAGGGGGAATATCTTCTTTGAGATTTAGAGGATAAGAGGATGAGCCTCCTGCTCTTTGATGTGCTTCTTTGGATGTGGACATGTACAATGGAGGAGTTTCTTTTGGCCTGGAAAGGAGATCTCGAAGCACATTCCTTTTCCTTTTAATGTTTTTGGCTTTGAAGGAGTACTTTGAAAACCATTCTGTCCATCGAAGCAACTGTGGATGTGGAACTGTCTTCTGCTTGATTTCATCATTTGTGGGAAGGACATGTCCATTTTTGCAAAGGAAATAATGCCCAATAAGATGGAGCTCAAACTTCTTAATTTCATACTTAACAACCCTAATTTCTTCAAATGGGGAATGATAATGGATATTTGCTTGGGAGAATCTCCTACTTTTGTGTTAGACATATTCTTCTCTTGCCATTAATTTCAAAGGGTACAACTACTCAATAATACTTGTCACTGGCATTTTTTTTTGGAGAATTCGTTTTCCTTTGGAGGGGATTTGTAATGGCTGGCAGGTGCTACAATCTTTCCTTCGGTGTCTTGATTGCTCTTTCCAAGGAGGAGGATCTTTCTTTGGAAGCTTTTGCAACGAGTGCATAAGCTTAGAGATTTTGGGGACAAAGTCTTTTGAGGTAGTTTACAATGCCAAGGAACTACTAAATCTGCTCGTAAAAGGATTTCATTAGGAACTTTAAGGAATCCTTTTAGAATGTGATATCTTGGATAGTATGCACCATCTTTCAAGTGCATTTCTAGGAACTTGATCTCTTCTTGGGTGGTCACCATTTTCTTTTGGGAGAGCATGATTCCGTATCATTTGGCTAAGTCAGCAAATTGTTGGAGGAGCTTGTAGTGAGACTCTTCTTCAGGATGGAATAGAAGGATGTCATCAATGCACCGGTGCATTGGACATGATTGTTTGGAGAATTCTACGCATGGCTTTTTGGAACAATGATGGTGCAGTCTTGAGACCAAAAGGGAGGACAATCCACTGGAAATGCTGGTATGGGAAGAACTGGTTAGGCACAAAGCATTTGAATTTCCTCAAAAGAGACTTCTAGTAATTTCATTCATGCGTTCTCATTGATCTATTAAATTTTCCTGAAGTGCTAAAATGGATTTATTGGTATTGGACCACAACCATTATGTAGTCATAGAGTTTCCCACCGTAAGAGTTCACGGATCATCAATAGTTTCATCAACAAAGGATATTAATAACATGATTTCACTCATTTTGCAGAAGTCCTCGAGTGATTTCATTCCTTGAGTTATTGGAAGAAGCTATATCTCAAAGAGCTTAATCTTAATCTAGATCCCGAAATCCATATAATCATTCTTTTCAGCATGGCCATGGATGTTTCATAACTTTGACAGAAGATTTTGTGGTCACCCATATAATTTTGTCACCACGCAACAAAATAATTGTGCACATTCCACCGCAATGGTATACATATCTCTGTAGTGCAGATCTTCCAGTCGAATATTGAAAAATCCAGAGAATTTTCTGCGAAATGAATGATAGCTTCCCATAATCCATATGGTCCTATGCTTACCAAGAGGATGTTTCATGGGATTATTCCAAAGCATTTGAGACGATCAGAGATACCATCTACCAAGCTCTGAAAGAATACAGAAGGAATTTACCAGAACTTATGGATTTTTTTCTAGGACCTTAGAGATTATGGAGAATTTAACCTCAAACTTATGAGTTTGGATAATTGGTCACAACCAAGTTTCAATCCAAGATTAAAAGCCAACATGTCAAATATGTGGCAACCAGATCCCAAACCTAGCATATGGCTTTCGTGACCCAGCTCATGCACCCGATAGATAGATCTAAATCTCCATCTGGGACTAAGTATTAGCTTTGTAAATCCAAAATTCACCTTAGATGATGCAAACCTGAATCTTCCCTTCAAAAAGTATCTGCGTAAATAAAGCAATTTATCCATTATTGTTGTATTATTGTACTATGTTACTTGCCACTACTTTTGGCCAAAGTGTTTTTCTTATTGTCCTTCCGTCTATAAAAATTTGTATTATTATCCTAGAAGAGTAGTTTGCAAATGCCTATATGGTTTTATGTAAAAGTCTGTGTTACCCCTAGCCTAGCCAACTTATGCGAGGAGTTGAGGAGTAAGAGTTGGCCGAATATTCAGTCTATATACACTCTTCAATGATCTTCTAAACACTTTTCTTTCTCCTCGAGGCCTTATGGCATTTGGGAGTTAAAATATTATTGATAGTCCGATAAGATAAGTTGGGTTCCGCTAGTATGCTCTCTACTTGCCACATTGCAAATCCTATGGATTATATAGTTTCGAGGCCTAAATGCCTTATGGTATATATTATTGGTGTGTGGAGACTAAAAGACAGACCCTTTTGAGACCGAGAAGAAGGCCATTTTCTATGAGATAGCATTCTGTCTCAGATTGCTCATTAGTCTGCGCATAGTAAAGTATAATTAGGGGTGAGCAATCGGGCCGGTTCAACTCGGGAACCGGACTAAACTTGCCTTTCCTCATCGGTTCCAGTCTGGTTCCGAACCCTAGTACCGGTCTTTCGCCGGTTCAGTTCCCAGATCTTATGTCAGAATTGCTAGTCCGACTCGGGAATTGACCAAGTAGGCCAATTCCATGGTCGAATTGGTTAAGAATCGATCTTATACACCTTATTTGAAAAAAAAATAATGGTTAGATGCAACTAGGGAGAACAGAATCCACAACCTCCAGCTTGAAGTAGGCGCACAAAGCCACTTAACTAACTAGACTTTGCTAGTCATAGGCTAAAAAAAATGATATATGATATCAGGTGTGCGATTTTTACAAAAAAACCCGATTCCCGAGACTGGCTGGTTTGGTTCCAAGTATAACTGTTTTACAACCTATGGGGTGGATTCCAAGTTCTGGTCTCGGAACTAACCCACTTTGAAACGGATTACCCCTACATATTATTATTGACACGTAAATTCACATGATTTTTTCATGATTTGAAGTTGTGGAAAATGAAATATAGTATCTCCTGCTTGAATAATATAAAATATTTTAGCGGGAAAGTAAAAAAGTTTTTTTGACTTTTGATGAGTCCGGACAAACAGGGCTTATCATACTTGAAGTGGAATGATTTGTGTCAGTGTGATACCATTATGTGGTATGGTTGGATTGTTGATCTTTTTGCTTGAGAAGTTGTTGAAGCCTTTCCGTGCTTTCACTTTCTTCAGATTACTTGTGGTGAAGTATGCCTCTTTTCAAAGCTTAAGTATTTAATCTTGTAGCACTTTCACCTGCTTCTCCGAAGTCAACCTTTTTTCCCCTTTTCTTGGACCATGACTTGCTCTTTATATTGTTACTTGAATAATGACCACCCATTCAATTTTCTACTAAAACATTTTTGCATATTAATTACTTGTTGCTTTTCTCGAAAGGCTTGTTTTATGAAGCTCAAGTGGTACATTGCAAACCAAATTGGGTAGAATAGACCTCTTCTTCTTATGTTTCTGGATCCCGTGTATAGAAATCGTGTCTTTATCTCTCAAGCCTCAATTTACATGAAATCTTGCAGGGATCCTGTGGAATTGGACATCAGTGCACATGAACTTATTCCACGTCTGTTCAGAGGGAAACAATCCAGTTCTGAGAAGTAGTGCCAAGTGTAGCTGCTTGGGCTTTATCTAAGGAACACATCGGCTGATTGGAAGAATGAGCCATGAACAGTGAGCCTTGATATGATGTGACCCAGTTTCGGATTTGGTGAATGCCTGTGATACTGTGCTAAGCCCATGCACCTCCTTCTGTTGTCTTGTGGGTTTTGCTTGATTTTTTCTGAGGCTGCATTTCATTGTCACTCTCATGATTGCTTTTCATGTTAAGCCCTTTGATTTTAAGCTCGCTTACGATGGTGATGGGCAGTGTGAGGACTTTCTTCATAGCTGCAAGTGGTCTTGAGGTCACCTTGAAGCTGCTAATTTCCACAATTTTTGTAGAAAAGCTAAAAACCTTTTTAAATCTAGGGTTCTCATTTGGTTTTTGATACTCCAGTTATTACTTGGTTTTTGTAAGTTTGCCATGTATTTATGACAATACATATGATGTTGGAAGTTGGTTTCTGGAGTTGTTCATGACCGCGAGGAAGAATATCTCAAGTACTAGATTGTTCTTTTTCTGCTGACTTTGCAAGGAATTTCACTTTTCCGAGTCGTCTAAAGAGCATTAATGTCACATGTACTATTGTTGACAGTCTTGCTTCTTTTATTAGTTCTATGGTTTTCTGCTTACGGGGAAATCAACTTTTGAGGCGGTTATCTTCGTAATATATTGATCTGTAACATAATTTTTCCACATAATTCACCTATTCATAGGATTTGATCAATGCTATGCACTTATTCGTAATGTATCTGATGACATTGGCATATAGATTGGAAGGTTAAAGGATAAGAATATGCAGAGGTTCCTTTTTTCCATCTGAAGTTGCTGCTTTGAGATTCAATTGTCATGTTGTTTCTCTACCAGAGGAACATGTGAACAAGGGGTGACTCAGAAAATTCTTGCATGGACTCTCAGGTACTTTGCCTAATTCTCATAATTCCCATGTTCATAGCGGGGAAGAGAAGTAAAACAGAGCCGCTGTCTGAGGTTATGATAAACTTTCTTCCCAGGGTAGATTCGACTCTTATCTTAGTAGATGTCTCAATCACTTGCTTTTGGTTAGCTTCGTTTTTGTTGAGTTTGCTTTCATTAGTTGGCCAGTTTTCTGCTCTATTCTTCCTTCTGCACTATATCCCCACTCTCCCTGTCCTCCCAGTGAATGAGAACCATGGCAATGCTCAGCTATGTGAGCGACAATCCTCGATTGGTAGGAGCCAATTCTCTGTGCATGACGAATCCTATGACGTTGGACAATTGAGATCTGTTGGGCGCGTCATTTGCGATTGATGCCATCTCTTTAAGGAATCATGTCTCGTCGGAAAATGATACATCATATATCCAGGAAAAAGGTTATTCCCCCACTATTTGCGGGAGAAGAATGACTTCCGCGGTTGTACCCAAGTCATCATTTAACAAGTTGGTGTTCCCAGTTCTTTCATTTTGCTGGGACCATAAGAGCAAAATTGAACATAGAAAAAAGGAGGAAATTGTGGCTAGTACTAAAGCATAGATCTTGGACGGAGACATTTCACAGGGTTATGGAATCCACTAAGATCCCATCAAGAAAAGACGAGAATACAAGTCAGAAAAAAGCTGCAATCAGATCTTGGATTCGAATTTGGCACATAATACAACATAGTACTAGACTGGGACTGGTTTCTTCAAGCTTTTCCTTTCAAAGGAAATGGTGGGAGCCCTGTTCCTCTTCCTCACATTCTTCTTTTCAATCAAACTCAATTTGGGTACAGCACTAAGTGGCCCCATTTGCATTTGTGGTTGCAGTTTGCACCCTCTACGGCGAATTATCGATCCCTATTGTGTAGATCATACGTTACAGTCTTGCGCACCGAATGCGGCCCCGGCGTGATTTTGTTTACAAGTGTGGAGCATGAAGTTGCACGCGCCTACGGCCTCTCCAACCGTCAGATAAATCCATTCTTCACCAAGGGATTCGATGAACTTGGACTTTTCTAGCTTCTTTATCACCTCGCTCCGTGGGTTCGCCATAACAAGCTGAAAATCATGACAGATGTTACCATTTAGCTACTCTCTAGTTATAGAAGAAACAAGAGGGATTTTCTCTTCATAAATCTTGAGGATTTTCTTTTACCTTGAGTCCTCTTCTGTCGACATTTTTCTTGGTTTCCTCGAGCATGCTAATTCCACTCGTATCAATGCTTCCGACGGCTGTAGTATTTCACAAACAAGTTAAATCCAACTATGTATGTTCTTTCACGGCAAAATTGACAGTAAATGAAGAAAAATATATATGTACCGCTCATGTCGAGTACAATATAGTGCAAGCTATTTTCTCCCGACGCTTTCACCCTGTCTTCCTCCTCGTAGATCCATCTCGAAATCCTAAAATCGCGAAATACCCGATTTCTGCTTAAGATCGAAGCTCGACAAAGATAGGAAGTGAACAGTATGTGGTAATGTAGCTAGATGTACCTCTCTCTCAAGTAGTTTGCATTAGCAAAATAAATTGGTGAGTCTATCTGAAGGATGAGGACTCCGGGAACATGCGTAGCATTTGGGTATTGATCCATGCTTCGATATATCATGGAGTTGGGAATGTTGCCCAATGCGAAAGTCCTTGGCCTGGCTATGGAGATAAGCACCCTAACCAACGACAACACCACCTGCAAATTCATTCCAAGAACACAGTCAATCTTAAAATCCCGAAGCATATAATTTGGATAGTTCATGTCTTTTTTCGCGAGTTAAACAAGCAAGATATACTAGGACCGCATACACAATTATAACCGAAGATAGTAATGAATCTCATGAATAAGTTGGGTCGCATTTTCTTTTTTGATTTCCTCACCGCGGTGACCAGGCCGATCTCGACGCTCCCGAAGACGACACCAATATACGAGCTAATGCAGACAACGAAGTCGAACTTGTCGATCTTCCAGAGATGGATTGCCGCCTCGTAGTCGATGAGGCCGAGCATGGCGGCAATGATGATTGAGGAGAGCACCACAAGGGGAGTGTAATGGAACAGCGGAGTTAGGAACACCAATGTGATCATCACTGCTGTTGCCATCACAATGTTGGACACTGAACTCTTGCACCCAGCATTGAAGTTCACTGCTGTTCTTGAAAATGGCCCTGTAATTAAAGACACATACGACACATATTAGTTTGATTTGTTGCAATTAAGGATTTAAAAAAACTTCCTCGCATCATCTGTTTGGGTTGATTTGTTGCAGGAAATTGGTACCCGAGGTTAAGTAGCAAGAAGTGCAAGAGCCTGCAATGTTCATCATGCCAAATGCAATCATTTCTTTGTTGCCATCAATGTGGTAGTTCTTGAATGTGGCAAAACTCCTCCCAACAGCCACACCTTCCTGCACACCATCCATTGACGTTATTTAAACATGCGAGTCTATTTCGTTCACATCAATCACTGTGCATTATATTGCTATTGAATTCAGTAGACAGCCTAAGGATGCTAGTCATGCAACTAAAATGGTATACATGTATTGTAATTTGGGGATCCGATTAAGGGAAGAGGGGAGTTGAAGAGCGAGAACTTACAGCAAGAGCGATGATGCCAGTGACGATTCCGACTTTAATGGCCGTCATCAAATGCGGCGATCCGAATGCCAGTTCAGTCATAGACGGCGGATTCAACCCTTTCTTCAGGTGTCCAATCTGGATTTAGAAACACATGTTAAAGAAAGATTGTAACTATACATTGTATGCCTAAAAATTAATCTCTTCTCTTGTGGTATAAAAATCAGTGGACCTTGTATGAAGCATAAAATGCTAGTTGCGATTGAATTTTTCCGACAAGAAAGTCCATCTTAGACGGATAAATTCTAGCCCCGTAGGCATCTCATTGATCTCATGAATTAGGTAAGGCGCAAGCCAAAAGCTAAGGGGCTAGCCCAAATATAATATTGTTTGGCATTTGACGAAGTGAGAAATTGAACTTTTGATGCGCGCCTAATAGGCACATATGCATTTGTACCTTTATCACTAGAACGGTCCATGTACTCGATATCCAAATTTCTGGCTTTTAATTTCCTTTTTTAACATGGCTTTTTCAATTGTCCGACCAAAAAACTAAACATGAACTTTTAATTTCTCTTAGAGAGATCTTTACCACTTGAACTCCATGTTTCTCAGCATGACTGAGATAGACGAGGACGCTCCCCAAAATGACCGAAGTGAGAGGCGCCATCGCATTTATCCAAAAGAAGGTCGGCCTCTTTTTGCTCTGCAAATGATGACATGCATAGTTTGCAAGCAATTGATTAAGACCATCATCTCCCAATAAATATGTTGCAAGAAGAGATATGCATGTACGTAATCAAGAGAGTTGAGAGTTAATTAAGTGCGCCATAGTTCGTTTTAACAATTTAAACCGTCGGATAACGACACCATTCATGTGTTAAGTTCTTGCAAAGAGATCATCTCTGCATGTGCATATTCTGAAGGTGAACTACTTGAGAGACTAACGTCTCAAAAGCCCTAAACGTGCTTGGGATCTTCAAGAACAAATTACCACATACAAAAGTTTATTCAGATGTGTAACACACTGTACAGTCATATATATATAGCAAGATCTTTCCCATGAAAAGGTTAAAGTAGACATGAATGACAGTGTGAAAAGAATATCCGATGCTTGGCTCTATTTGTTCCCGGAGCTTTTGCAGAGCCCACCTAACGCCACTGAGCTTCACGTATAGATCAGGCAATGATTGACTATAGTTAACCCAATAACTCGCCTCTTTATCCTTTTTCTCTTTCTTTAATCTTGTTCTCCCGTTTCTTTTTCTTGTTGTAAAAGAAGGGCACCAACAATTTGCCTCTCTAAGATGAACTCTTTTGTACCAACAATTTGCCTCTCTAAGATGAACTCTTTTGTACTCTCTCTCTCTCTCTCTCTCTCTCTCTCATTAATTTGCAAACTTTTAGGTATTACTATGGTAAGAATAACTCGTCGACTGTCGCCAACTTTACTAGGTTGTCAACTAATATGTTCATCTTGATTATAATGACAAGGAATTAAAACGAACATAGATAGTGGCCTTAATTGTCAACTATTAACTCAACATATAACCTCACTCATAAAGGCGAAAAAAATTGCATTTCTTGACACCCAAGTGAATAAAATAACATCAGTCTGAATTTTTACGTTCTTCTTTACTTACCAAGTATCTGGTGAGCAAGAGAAAGAAGAGGAAGCAGCAGCCCAGGACACCACTTTCCCATCTCCACTGCAAGTGCAAAAGCGATACGTGAGAAAGCCCTAACACAGAACATTAATGTTAATGATTGTTGTTAATATTTGGAAAAAGAAAGAGTTCAAGAACCTCGTGGACTTGAGTGACAACGGAGCGCATGACTGAGACGAGGTCGGTGGCGTGAGTGAAACGGACCAAGCCAAGCATGCCTTTGAGCTGCTGAAGACACACCACCGTCGCTGCTCCTCCCATGAACCCCACTATTGCTGCATGTGACAGAAAGTCCACTACGAACCCAAGCCTGCAACATAAAGAAACCACTAAGTCGATTACAAAGAGAAAAAGATCAGCTAAAATAACAACTAAAAAACGTTCTAGTGTCCCAAAAAAGAAATAATTATGACTAAAAGACAAACTTTTTCCTATTATAGAGTTTGATATTACGTGAGATTAGAAAGGGAGAGGGAAGTCGTAGTCTTCTTGATCTCTCTCGCCACCGCTTCCAATTGTCTTTAAAAGCGTTGTACAAGAACTTTCAGTTGCATAAGACAAGAATCGAAGTTCTTGTACCCGTGTCCATGCAAGAGCAATGACTCTTGTGATATAAACTTTAGTCTATTTGGACTGCATATGATAAAAAAGAAAAGTTTGGGAGAGGAAAAAGAACATGATTATGCTCATTTGATCGCTTTAAAGTGATGGATTTGACCAACTACGACGTAGAAAATAATTTCAATCCCTCTCGAGGAATCGACTCCTCAATTTGCACTCATGGGACCCCCACGAGGATTCGGGAAAATTGATGAGTGATTGAGATGTATTCGCAGGCGATGTGTTGCCTTTATAAAAAATGTAAGTAGAGTCAATTTACCTCTCGGTTGAGCCGAGAGAGAGAGAGAGAGAGAGAGAGAGAGAGAGAGAGAGACAGAGAGAGAGAGAGAGAGAGAGAGTACCTTAAGAAGCCAAGAGAGGCTTGGAAAACACCAGCGAAGAAGGTGGAAGTGAAAACCAACTGAACATACTCTTTTGTGCGCTCGGTTGGACTCACTTCCTTGCCAAGCATTGAAGATATGAGCAGCGAGGCCACCGCTACCGTCCCCACTGCCAAATCTCTCGAACTCCCCAACATTGCATACACCAATGGCGGCACAAAGCTCGAATCTGCATTCATTACAGGCCCATCCACTTGTTACCAAGAATGAAAACTTATGAAAATATAGTTTTTCGAGAGCAAGACGGAGAGATTAAGCTCACAGAAGAGGGCAAGAGATAGGATGAAAAACAAATATATAGAGTGACTATATATGTTACAACGATCGTTCGTATGTAATGGCACTCACACAGTCCGATAATTGGGGGTAGGCTCGCCAGCTTGGCGTAGCTGATCCCCTGGGGGACAGCGAGGCTGGCGATGGTGATCCCCGCAACGAGGTCGGCCTTGAAGGAGTCGAAGGTGTAGCGCGGGGCCCACTCGAGGATTGGGACGAAGTACTGGAGCCCCATGACGAGCTTCCGGGAGGGCGATTGGCTTCTGAACTGCCGGAACGGGTCGTCGGGGAAGAAGGTCTCCTTGAGGGTGGTCGCAAGCGACTTGAGGAAGGGCTTCGTCGGGGGGATCGCGACCTTGTGAGGACACTCGTAGTTCATATTGTCCATGTTGCCCATCGTACGTGAGTGCTCAAATGCGGGTAAAGAAGCCAAATTCAAGCTAGCAAAAATTTAGCAGCAATACTTATAAGGTAATATATATTATCTGTAGATATCGAGCTTGGGACTTAGCTAAGAGATTAGCGGCTTTTGAGAGAGAGAGAGAGAGAGAGAGAGAGAGAGAGAGAGAGAGAGAGAGAGTGTATAGGAGTGAGATTGGGTTGGAGATGGGGAGTGCATGGGCAATGAAGGGGAGGTGGGTATATATAAAGGGGAAGATGAGGGAAGGAAAGGGATCTAGCAAGTGCTGTTTGGGTCCCTTCCCAACACATGGAGTGTCGTCAACTTCGTCACAGCTTCCCTCCTACCTTCTATGGTGATTATCATTTAATTTTATTTTTTGTTGAGAAATAAGATTAAATGACACATGTTCTTTTATTTGATAACCAGGCAACAGAGAAAAAATCTAAACGCACAATCTCAAGATTGAAAATCTTAGAATTCGTGAAGTACTCGCATACTTTTATCCACTTTCAATCAGTATTATCACTATATGACTAAGAATAACTGCGTGAATACAATGTACGAATAACGGTACGGACAAGATTAATCAATACCTAGAGTCAAGGAGCTTGTGTATTTGGAGTTTCAATGTTTCTTGATATAGGACCATAAATTAAGATGAGCATGTGAACTATTGATAAGGGCATAACCTATAGGGTTTTGCTTATCTGATAGGGCAACCTAGCTTTGTGCTGGGATTTCGTATATGAGAGATCATAGATTGAACAAAAAGGAAGGTAAACTGGTGATGTGGGCCCATTTATAGTAAGCTAATCTTTATAAGTTAATGGTTTGAGAAACTGATATTTTTGCATATTGTGGTCAAATTTGATGGCGTTAAGATCTCATAATTGGACTAACGATCTGCGTTAAATGGAATTATCAGCACATGCTAGTCAAACTGGTTTTCCATCATGTTAAGCACGAACGTGCTAAACCCTTATGATTAAATTTGTATCAACATGTTAATCACTGTGTTATGAGGCAAAAAGCTCAATTGACTCCGTCAAATCCAAGTCATGCACTAACAAATGCTTTTTAATCTCATACTCGCTTTTCTGGTTGACCAAAACCCTCGCACTTTCTTGGAAAAAGACTGGTCATTCTTCCGACGGTCCTGAATCCAAAGTCAATAGTAACTTCAGTCGAACAAAAATCTTGAGCTGAAAGCACTCATCACATCCACTCTCAGATCGAAAGTTTATGTAGGTGTCTGCTAAGCAATTTCCTTTTTCCCACGCCGGCATAAGGCAGGCGTCCGATCATTCTAGGTCGGACTTTTGAGAGAGCTGGATAGCATAAACTGGGCGTCCGACATGCTATAGGCGGGTGAGCCATGCCGCCGTTTTCTAAGACTTTGGGTGTGCATCCTATCCTAAATGCATGTGTTCTTTAAGTCCCATACAGTGTATATAGAGAGCCATCGAGGCCTATCTTGAGAGACCAGTGAAGGTTCAGTTTGCTCTGAGAGCGAATTTCGCGACATTAAGACTTGGGGTTGGAATTGAGTCGATTTCATAGTGAAAGCATCTCATCAATCTCTCTCGTATACGTAGGCACAGTTGAATAAAATCTCCTTCTCTATCTTCTGCACCAAACTTATCTGCGGTTTGCTTCTGTGGTTTTTAGTGCGACAAAGCCGTTTACTGCCTAAGCTTGTGCATCAATTTTTCACCAACTGCATAGAAGGGCTACGCATTTGGATGATCGACCTAGGTACAATCCTTTGGTTGTCTTGTATCCATCCTTTTGCATAAGTTAATGAAGGGCTCGTGAAAATCCAAGTTCAACATCCGACCGAGTAAACAACTGCAGTACCCTTTACATCCTAGGCTTGGCTATGACTCACGATGAGATTATCATGCCAGGTCACTCATTCTTCATATATTTCAACATGAACACATTTTATTATTGGACAGACGACATTATTAGGCAATGAAAAAATTTCATTCCGAGAAGCAAAATCGAAGAAGCTAACCATACATTACGGGCATCTTGTCCCACTAGAGATGTGGCACATACTTCACCAGTAGGATTGCTTTCTCATTTGCCTAAAGGACCGACCCACTTTACACGTGGTGGTTCACTGAATATGGCATCGCCATCGAGCCAATTCGGAAAGATACGCGAACTAACATTGCGATCAGGACTCCAACTTTTTGGAGAACATTGTTATTTTATTAGGTATTATTATAGGTTCGGACGGTCCCAGATTCACATAATGTTTCGAATTAAAAACGCAATTATGGGTCTTCCTATGTGATAATTGGAAGGAAATGAAGGAGATTTAGGCCAAACGGCACCTACCATTGGGATATTTTGGTAAAGGGATTCACATGGTCCGAACGCAATAGAAGGACCGGACCCAACGTTATGTGGCTGAAAAGCAGCTGTAGTGGCATTTGAAAAGGGTATTAAAGTAGGAGACAATTCGGTGGGCAGATAAATTCACATGTTTTTGAGTGATCTTTTTCTCGAGGTATGTATGGACATTAATGAACTGGCTAATATAGCGTCGGTTTTGCACCAACGGTGTATGTTATAATTATTCTCCGGCCAGAGCATATGAGCATGGCTTCCCATTACCGATTGCGCAAATGAATTGCCAGTAGAAGGTGTTGGCGTCGGCCGTCACTGATTGCACAATCGAATTGCCGGTTGCCAATGTCGATGATGGTGTTGACCTTGCCCACTACTATCTCTCTCTCCTCCTCAGGAGGAATGTTGTGGGTCTAGAATGGTCATAAGCGATCGCATGGCAATGATCAAGTGACGCTCAAGTTTAGGGTCTTTCTTTCATAGTTATATCAAAAGGCATACGTTTGGTTTGTATATCAGTTCACAAAATGATACGCGACAGACAACATTGAGCATTCCAGTCAGCAAGCGATACTCAATATCAACAGTATCCCGTCTCAGCAGCTCTCAACACTCCTGCAGATTAACCTTTTTCTTTTCCCTTTTGCTATTCTGCTGGTTCTCCGGCGTTGTGAAACACGCGGAGGAATGTGGATACAGTGAAATGCTCCCTCCAACGTGTTAACCAACAGACGACTTTTTTCCTTCCAGAAGAGTCAGCACGTGTTCTTCCTTTCTTTCGCAAGTTGAGTCCGACGCTACTCGGTTGAAGAAAGACTCGTCGGTCAAATAGATACAGCTTCGGCAAAAGAAGGTTCTTGGCGATAATACATCTTTCTTTATTTTCTTCCCGTGTATGTGCGCTTGTGCGTGGCGGGCTGACAAAGCCCTTCCCACGTTTGACCCTGCAATGCGACGAGTGGTTGAAACTCGGTTGACGGTAGAAAAAGATGCGCCTTTTTTGAGGTTGTTAGGTCGAGAAGAGAGGTGATGATTAGCAGTCTTTGTTATTTGATCGGCTCAATTGGTGGTCACAGTGGTTCACAGAGAGAGAGAGAGAGAGAGAGAGAGAGAGAGAGAGAAGGGGGGGGGGGGGTGGTGGGGTGGTGTGGTATGGTGGGTGTGGGTGGTTTTCGGTGTTTAGCCAAAAAAGTGAGGCATAATTCTGCATTTTTTACGATATCAAGTTCAAGTCAGTAGAATGCTTCACCAGATCAACCGAAAAGAACGAATATTTTGATGATAGGGATCACTCTGGAAGAATAAAGTGCAGAGACGGTTTGAACACTTTGAGTAAGAGAATTAGGATCACTGAGGGGATGACACCAAGATAGATTTATCTATATACTAAGCATGCAATAGTTGTAAGGACCTCGGCCCCATCACGCTTCCGCTGCGTCACTCCTTGTGCTTCCGCTGCGTCACTCCTTGTGTAATATTGTCCGCTTTGGATACTAAGTCCTCACGGTTTTAAAATGCGTAGAGCAATGCAATCCCCTCGCCATCCACGAAATCTGCCGGGAGCCGCTCCTTGTCCGAGCCCTCTCTGGCTCCGGCGATCACTCCCTGCCCTCGTCGGACCGGGTCGTTACATTCTCCTCTCGTCGGACCGGGTCGTTACATTCTCCCCTCCTTCGAGCATAGCGTCCTCTCTATGGTCCCACATGCGGTCGGGAGTTGGCTCTGATACCATTTGTAAGGACCTCGGCCCCACCACGCTTCCGCTGCGCCACTCCTTGTGTAATATTGTCCGCTTTGGACACTAAGTCCTCACAGTTTTAAAACGCGTTACACAAGGGTTAGGGGCCAAGCCCTTATAAACTCACCAAGATCTCACTCCCTTAGCAATGTGGGATAAGAGCAATGCAATCCCCTCGCCATCCACGAAATCTGCCGGGAGCCGCTCCTTGTCCGAGCCCTCTCTGGCTCCGGCGATCACTCCCTGCTCTCGTCGGACCGGGTCGTTACAATAGTGCTTCTAGGATCTTTAAAAGAGAGGGATAAATAATAGTAAAGACTAGATCTTTAGTCAATTGACTTGACTTGACAATGTATTAGAATTAAGGGAATTTATACCCGGACATTATGTATAGAAAAGAAAATAGTTTAATTTAACAAGTAAATTAGCTATCTTAGGAAATAATGAAATATCTTACAATATCCATAATATCTCTAATAATATTCTCCAATAGGGAATTCTCTAATATTCATAAATATATTTCAGCAGTCCCTCTCAAGCTAGAGCATCTAGCTTGAATATGACGGTTGCAGCTTTCTTCCAAAGTATGTGACTAAGCGCCATGTAAGATGGAACTTAGACTAGACAAGGGATGTCGATCCATCGAACCGGATTTAAGACAATGACAATTGTGTAAGCCGGACCTTACAAGACAATTTGAATGCACTCCACATCATCATTGAATTTGACAAGTGCTGAAGAAACACATGATCAAAAGGTTGACACATATTTTTCATACTACCTTGATACAACCGTGTAGAAACCCAACTTGAATTGTGGCAAATTAAACTACATCACCCTACGCCACTCAACTTTGGCTGCTTGATGAAGGTATGCTTGACTCCGGCCCTCATTGTTGCCTGGACAGTGACTTTGCGCGTCGATGATGTTCACAATTGAAAGAGAGCCATAGAACAGATAATGCTTAGGGTGGGCATTGTTGAGTATTGACAAACTTGGGAACTTACTGAAGACGAGGCGACTAACGATGGCGAGGCACGACTTCCCTA